TTTATTTTATAATTTAAATGACATTATTTAGATCAATTTTCTGTCCAGATAGTATAGTTGGTGGACAGATCATTGTCTGCTGCCTTACAGGTTACAGCAAACAGTTTATTTCTGTGTCTTCCTTCACATAGGCAAACAACTTCACCAAATCATTAAAATAAACAAGACTAACAATGTTCCATTTGAACCAACATCAAAACCGGCATTCTCAAAGCGTTGCCGGCTAACGCTCAGCAAAAAGCTCCTCATCTGCTCCTTGTTCTAACCACCATTGATTCCTTACTTTCTCCTGTTACCTGTGCAGTGGCAAAAGTGAGTAACAGAAGAACAGGAACCATTGAAACAGAATGTACAACGGGAAATACAAAGACCTGTACCAAACTTGTCATTGGTGTTTGACAACACGAGGCAACATCTAGTGCATGCTAGAAGAGAAAACAGATAAAACCCCTAACTTTTTTTCGTTGCATTATTCGAATTTGAATGTCTAATGTGTGAATTTGCTCAAATGGTGTTAAAAGGTGACCACTTGTGATGTGGCCATGTGGGTCTTAAGCGGTTGAAAAGATGTATCAACCAAAAGAAAAAAAGAAGTGAACCACTAGTTAAGAGAATTCTGGATTAACAACATAGTTCTATTCACAACAACAATATCAAAAAAACCCAATGTACAAGCATCCGTAGGTTATAGTAGAAACCATAGCTGAAAATCGCTATGAATGCTTTATAGACTCTAGAGATCTTGTGATTCTATTACAGATACAAAACACAAGCTCAAACATGCACTAGTCTCATTAACCACATCGCTTAGCTTAGAAACGCACATAGTGTGCTCTAGGTAACATGACATCTCTAATGTGCAGGCCTCTGCTACATTCTGTATTGGTTAGCAGACCTGAACTTTTGCCTACATATTAACATTCAATGACAACATGCACCACCTTAAATCAAAGCCATTGAATCAAGTCATAAGATGTAAAAGCATAGATCAACTAATTAGCCATATGATTGGTTAGATGTTAGGCAATTTGCTTATTTATTTATTTTTCCAGAGAAAAAAAAAATTTATTCCATGATACATCCATACACACACACACACACACACGCACTCAGAAGAACTGATCAAGCAGGATACCATTACATGGCCTGCTGTTTAGTTGGCTGTATTACACAATTTAAAAACCACTACAAAGATGTTCCTTTGTAATTCCAACCTTCTATATGAATAAGACTAGTTAACACAAAGAGTGAGAAAAGTTATAGTTTAGCTTACCTGCAGAGCTCTTACTCCAAAGGACCTGATCATCTATAGTTGAGAGATGTTCATCATCAAGGCGCTTCCATGTCTTGATGGACTTAACAGCTCCCCAAGTACCCTCTTCAGTCTTCTCTAAAGATGCTACCACCACCCTTGCTCTCCTTGGCCATCCAGCTTTCCCATAGGCATGGTATCCAAAACCTCCAGCATAACAAAGTTGTATGCCAGTCAACTCACCACAGAAGTCATTGAGATGATCATGACCAGTAAAAACAGCTTTCACATCCTTTGCCTCAACCATGGTTGTGAAGAAGCCTGAGTTCACAGATGCAGAGCTAATGCCCGCCTCCTGTTTTACTCCAGTGAAGTTTGACGAGTCAAAACTGGCAAATTCAGGCAATGGGATGTGAAAATATGCAATTCCAGGAGCAGCAGCTTTCTGAGCCACCGGTGGGCTCATGTAGGCTTTCTGCAGTACAAAACAAAATGATATCAAGCGTATTCTTATGAAATGTGGAACTATCAGCTATCTGCAAATACGTGCATTCTAGTTGCTGAACTATGCAGACTTTTAGAATATGGAACGTGGTGTGACCAATGGAGCGAGTGCAGGAACAAGGCCATGAGCAAAGGATTATCGACAAAAGGTTTACATACCATTTTGGTCCCTCAACTTTTCACTTTGACAGTAAAATTGTACCTAAACTTTAAAAAATACTAAAATTATCCTTAAACTTTCATTTTGAATACCAAAATGCCCTTCCGTTAACAGAAGTGCCGAGTGGCACGTTAAGTTGCCAGACTATCAGTCCTTATATATTTTTTTTAAATGACGTGTAACTTAAAATATTTTTTTATTTATGATTTGATTTTTTTAACAATAATTCAAAAATTTCCCCGTCTTAAAAAAAAAAAAAAAAAAACTTCATCTTCTTCCTCCATTCCTCTTTCTCTCAATCCTTCGAAAGTTTACCTCTTCATTTCTCTATTAACCTTCCTCCTTCCTTTCCCTATTCATCCTTCTTCTTTCTTCTTCTTATTCTTTCTCTCTCTCTACTCCCTTCTTCTTCCTCTTCAGATTTGGGTTAACCCAGATCTGGGTTTGAGAAAACTCCAATACTGCTGTAAATTCGTATAAATTCAAGCTGAAGTGCTATTCCATTTCCTTCACTTTCTCGAAGGCCAAACGGAAACAAACACGAACTCAATACTGACTTCCAAAATTTGGAAGATACAGAAGAAATTCAACGAAAAACGAAAGAAAAAGGAAAGGAAAAACTCAAACTCATTCTAAGTTTTCACACAATGCAAAATGAAACAACTTTTCTAAAGAAAAAAAAAAAGGATCAGAAATATTTTCTAAACAACCAAACAGAGCGAGAAGCTAAAGAAACAGAGCAAAGGAAAACTAAGCTTTACCATCCCAAACTTCCAAATTGGTCAAACCAATCACCAAGAATATGAATTTCGTGCTTAGAACTGTGGGAAGGAAGCGAAATTGTGAAATTACTGGAAGAAATGCTACGGTTTGTTTAAAAAGATTTACAGAAAAATAGCTTGACTGGTTTTCTCAAACCCAGATCCGGAGAGGAAGAAGAAGAGAAAGAGAAAGAATAAGAAGAAGAAGGATGAGTGGGGAAAGGAAGGAGAAAGTTTGATTTTCGAAGGATTGAGAGAGAGAGAGGAAGGGAGGAAGAAAAAAATCAAGAACTGGTGATGGTGAACCAAGATGTGCTTAATCTCTGTAAAAAAAGAAGGTTAAATACCCGATTTGATCCCTAAACTTTCATTTCTAAACTTAGTTAGTCCTTTATGAAGTTAAAGGACCCAAATCGTCCTTAAAGTTTATTTTTCCATAACTAAATTGGTCCTTCCGTAAAGGAAGTGCCCACTTGGCATGTTAAGTCTCTACAATTTAATGCTTTTAATTTTCAAATGCTTACGTGGAAAAAACACAATAATTAATTGATGACATGGTAAAAATTATTAAATATAATATTGATAAAAAATAGAACAGAAAAAAAAAATTTCTTAATTGATTCATTCTTAATAAATTTAAAAGATTTAAAATAATTGATTGTTGCATTTAATACAGATAATTAAGAGATCAATTAACTCACAATTAATTCGATTATGATAACCTCATAAAATATATTAAATTGATTGATTCATTCAATAATTTGAGAAAAAATTAAATTCTTTTAATTTGGTTTCATCCTCCTCTTCTCCGATGAAAAACTCAGATCAAAATTTGGGATTCTTAACAAGTCTAGCTAGCAAAAATCTCATCACCAGAAAACAATAAGAACAACCCACAAAATCAAAATCAAGAATCCCTAACGTTTCCTCATACAAATGGGAAAAGCTTGACTTGTCTGCGATTTCCAAAGAAGAAAAGGAAGGATTAGGTTGATCATCATTCACTATGTTTGAAAACCCATGTCTTCGAGTCTTTATCGTGGTGACAACGGTGGCGAGACAACCAAAGATCGACAGTGAACGAGCTCCTTGTTTTGGAGACCTTGTCAGATAGGTCAGAGGTGTATTTCACGAGGGCCACTGCCAGATCCTCCTCCGAATCAAAGATGCTCACCATCTTCCCTTCACTTTTCTCTATCACCATCCTTGTGTCTGCGACCGTCGCCTTCGTTCTGCACCCAAACCCCTTGATTTCGTGTCGAGAACATAAGCCCCTTCGAAAACCGCCATGCTTGCAAGGGTTTTCAACGCTGTCGGCCTTGAGACCAACGAAGCGTAGTACGAAATGAGATGGAATCTGGAAGAAGAAAACAGGGTGCGGAGCGAGGTGGGTAAATGGAGAGAGGAAAATGGATTTGGAGTATTGAAAAGGTTAAACCCCTATTTTGGTCCCTGAACTATTGTACGGACCCTTGATTTGGTCCCTAAACTAAATAAATTCCTAATTTGGTCCTTAAACTATTGTACGGACCCTAAATTGGTCCCTAAACTATTGTACAAACTCCTAAGTTAGTCCTTAAACTATTGTATGAATGCCTAATTTGATCCTTATTGTTTACCAATTTAACCCCAACTTGGTCCTTCTGTTAAATAATAGCTCAAGGACTAAATTGGGATGAAATTATAAATAGTAAGGACTAAATTGGAGGTCCGTACAATAATTCAAGAACTAACTTATGCCAGATTATAAACAATGGGACCAAATCGGGGGTTCGTACAATAGTTTAAGGACTAAATTAAGGATTTCTTTAGTTCAGGAATCAAATCGGGGGTCCGTACAATAATTCAGGAACCCAAATGGAGATTTAACCTATTGAAAATGGAAATGGATTCTTGATTTTGACTTTGTGGGTTGTAACTAAGCATTTAAAAATTAAAAAAACTAAATTGTGGAGACTTAACGTGCTAGGTGGGCACTTCCATCACGGAAGGGCAATTTAGTTATGGGAAAATAAACTTTAAGGACGATTTGGATCCCTTTTGAAGTTAAAGGACGAACTAAATTCAGAAATGAAAGTTTAGGGACCAAATTGGGTATTTAACCTAAAAAAAAAACCCAAAATAGTGAAATGGAAAAATGGAATGGGAAGAGATGTTACAGGAGATGGAGGAGGAATGATGGCCCAGGGACGACAGAGAGACAAAGGGGAAGAGTGAAGAAGAACAAGCCTAGGGACTAAGAGAGAGAAAGAGGGGCAGGGTGAAGAAGAACGGGATAATAAGAAAGAGGAAGTTTAATTTTGAAAATTAATTTAGTTAATTATTAATAATTAATCCCTCATTTATTTATTAAAATTAAAAATATCAACAACAACAAATATCACTCATCAACTTAAGTATGTTTTTTTTTTCCACATCAATATGTTTTTTTTTATAAAAATATAATATTCTAACAACTTAACTGTTTTACCTATCCATTTAACTGAAGAAAAGATCATTTTGATACCAGGATAAAAAAACTTGAATTCAGTATTACTATAACCAGAGAGACTATTACCTGAAGCTTTGCAGAAGTTTGTTGAAACCAAACCTGCTGAGAAAGCTTAATCCAACCATAGCCACCAATGGAAGGAACTGTGGAGTAATCTCCACTGTCAAGGAAGTATAGATTGAGAACAGACTTGTTTTCAAAACCAGACCCCTTAACTCCACCAACCTTCAGGTTATAGTTACCAACACCATCAATAACATGTGCTTCTGGAGGATTAAATTGAGACATAGTGTTCTTCAATCCAACTATATGTTTCATGACACCCTCCCTTGATAGGTTGCCTTCCTGGTCATGATTCCCCAAAACAGCTGCCCATGGTATTTTTGATGCAATCGCAGGTGCAAAGGCATCATCCAAAGATTTCGTTGCATTAGTGGCATCATGTGCAAAGATGTTATCTCCTGTTACAAGCAGTAAACATGTGCCAAGGTTAATTTCATTTTCTGGTACACAAGATGTGGATTTATGGACCATACAGAATGGGATAACCATCTTTTATCCACAAAACACTCTTCAACTGCCCTAAAGATCCAAACTTTAGGTCTCCAAAGTCAAAAGTCTCAAATTCAATGGATATGAAATTAAAGTGCCTTAAAGATTTGTATGCCTTGTGGACATTGAACAAGTAGAAAGAGACAAGTAGCAAACAAAGCTAAATATCTGAGCCAGTTACACCATAATAAATAGATTTTGTAATTCTATAGGGACAATACCAACAAAGCAACCCTTTTGTATCTTTCTATTCCCTTGTAACTTATTGCTCCCTCCAATCTCTCTCACTGTAAAGATTTCATCATCTTAAAACCCATGAATAGAAAACCTAAAATACCATTACAGCAAAAGAAAAATTTTCCCTCAAGATAGAGCACACTAGATATATATATATATATATATTTTTGGGTGAAATCTAGATATTTATTTGCTTACACAGTTTGTGATTTGCATTTAGACTTGCGATGGCAAATTAGAAACACAGATAGGTACGGATCATTGGACTTACCAGTGAAAACAATAAAATCGGGCTTCTCGGCTAGAATTATCCGCTGGGCAAAAGCGGTGGTATTGAGATCAGAGCAACCAGCATCCTGATCGGGCAGCACATTCTTACACCTCGTCCTCTTCCCATTAGCATAGTGCATGTCAGCCACTTGCAGTATCTTAAATTCCCCATTCTGCCCAAACCTCAGCTTCTGCCCTTCCCCCTGTACCTGTTTCCCGGCAGCCGCAACACTGATGGAAACAGAACATAGGAGAAGCACCGCAAAAGTCATAAAACTGTTAACAACCCATGAAGCTGGCCCCATGATCCTTCCTTCCTAGCTTGCAAATCCCAAAATTTCAGTCTTAAATTAAAATCTGCTGAGTGTGCAGTTTCTGAAACTGGGTTTGGGGCATTTTAAGTAAAAAGGTATGGAAAATGACAGTCAACCTGACAAGGACAAAACTGTGGGTAGAAAGTCCAAACCCATATATGGGTGGTGTTATTGCCACAGCTTCACAGGTTAACACCACAGCTTTTTTAATTAATTGACCATTAACCCACGCGGAGAAGGTGGTGACTCTGCAAGTTGGATTCAAATGAGAGGTACAATAGTCAAATAATTAAAAAAAGCTGTGGTATTAACAGTAGTGGCTGTGGCAATAACACCACCCCATGTATGTGAACACATGAACTTTTCATGGAAGTTTGCTTCACCGCATATAAGTCAGTGGTGGGCTATGATTACTTTGTTGAAATTAAATAAGACTATAAATATTTACTATAAATAAGACTATAAATATTTACTATAAATGTTTATGTTGACCCATTTAATGAGTAAAAACAATCATGCACCGAGGCAAAGAAAAATGGTGCAACCATAGTTGGATTTTTTACTATAAATATTTATGCATGCAAAGGTAATAGGTAAATAAGAGTAAGAGAAAGTAAGAGAAATTGAGTGAGAGTTCTTGTAAGAGAAAGAAAAAGGAGAAATTATAAGAAATTATTGTGTAGATTAAGAGAGAATATTAACAAAAATTTAAAAATTTTTATATATTAAACTTAAAGGTTGAGAGTTTTTTTGAATGAAAAAGTTTTTAAATTATTATATTTTTTTAATAATAAATTTATTTTTTTCATAAACATAAATTTATTGAAAAGTATAAAAATTAAATTATGTTAAATTATTATCTTAATTTTTTTATATTTTTATTTACGTGAGATTATAGTGTTCGAAATTCTAAACAAAAACACGAAAACAAACGAGTGAATCGAAGACGAGCTAAAACCTTATCTTCCCTATTTGATAAAGCATCTAAAAGGGATATTCCCAGAAATAAAGGCTCAGGCGCATCTCCAATGCCGATTGATGAGGACAGTCGCACGCTTCACAGTATCTTTTTTCATCCCCTTCCTTCTTTGTTACGATCCTTTCTTTGTCTTCAGTAAAAACGAAACAGAGAAAGAGTTTCTTTTCCTTAAAAAAAAAATAATAATAACAATAAATTAAAAAAAAAAGGACAAATTATTCTCCACGTCTCTTTAACAGCGTCCCTGTTCCCTTCATTAAATTTAGTGCACGGAAAAGTCCTCTTACTGGCTCCCTCCACGTTTAATAATCCCAAAATTTTTGCACCTGTACTCACGGCCAACAACAGTCCACTTTCAACTTGAGAGTTGGGTTCGGTTCCCCACCCCAAAATTGTAACTTTTGTTTAAAAAAAAAAAAAATCCCAAAATTTTTTAGCCGCCAGTTTACCTACCCATCAACTGGTCAATAAAAAAAAATATTTTTTGAACATTTTCAATGAGGCGGCTTCAAATACCAAGGAAAAAAAGGGTGGCATCTTAGCAGAAGCACAGCAAAAGCCATAAAATTGTTAACAACGCATGAAGCTAGCCCCATGATCCTTCCTTCCTAGCTTGTAAAAACTCAAAATTTCAGTCTTAATCTGCTTAGTGTGCAGTTTCTGAAACTGGGTTTGCGGTATTTTAAGTCAAAAGCTGTGGAAGATGACCAGGGGCGGAGTCAATGGAGGACAAGGGGGGCAGCCGCCCCCCTAAGATTTTGAAAAACATTTAATATGGTCCTCTAATTTTTGTTTGTTAAAAATTTTGTTTTTATAGTATGAATTTAAGGGATCATTTCAAATTTAGAGAAAATATTTAATATCTAAATAAATAGTTTTTTTTAAAAAAAGATATAATTCAAGTAAAATGAATTTATGTCAATTAAATAATTAAGAATTAAGGTTTTTATCTATTAAGCTCAAAAAAAAAAAACCTTGATTATCTATTTAAACAACTTTAAATTTATAATTTTTTTAGTTTTTTATTTTTATTTTATTTTTCTTAATATTCTATGTAAAAGTTTAAAGTGTTTTCATTTTGGCATGAAAGACAGTTTTACCTTTTATGGTTGAATTAATAATCTCTTATTTTTGTTAAATTAATGTAAATTATAGTTCATTTTCTAAAAGAAATATTTTAGTATTTTTTTATAATATTAGTAAGGGACGGAGTCAATGAAGGACAAGGGGGGCAGCCACCCCTAAGCTTTTGAAAAACATTTAATATGATACTCTAATTTTTGTTTGTTAAACATTTTGCTTTTATAGTACGAATTTAAGGGACCATTTCAAATTTAGAGAAAATATTTAAGATCTAAATAAAAAGTTTTCAAAAAAAAAAAAAAAGAGATGTAATTCAAGTAAAATGAATTTATGTCAATTAAATAATTAAGAATTAGGGTTCTTAAATATTTTTTCATCTATTAAACTTAAAAAAAGACCTTGATTATCTATTTAAACAACTTTAAATTTACAATTTTTTTTGTTTTTTATTTTTTTTTCTTAATATTCTATGTAAAAGTTTAAAGTGTTTTCTTTCGGCATGAAGTACAGTTTTACCTTTTATGATTGAATTAATAATCTCTTATTTTTATTAAATTAATCTAAATTATAGTTCATTTTCTAAAAGAAATATTTTAGTATTTTTTTATAATATTAGGCAAGGATGGAGTCAATGAAGGACAAGGGGGGCAGCCGCCGCTTAGCTTTTGAAAAACATTTAGTATGATACTCTTTTTTTTGTTTGTTAAAAATTTTGTTTTTATAGTATGAATTTAAGGGACCATTTCAAATTTAGAGAAAATATTTAAGATCTAAATAAATTTTTTTTTAAAAAGATATAATTCGAGTAAAATGAATTTATGTCAATTAAATAATTAAGAATTAAGGTTCTTAAATATTTTTTCATCTATTAAGCTCAAAAAAAGACCTTGATTATCTATTTAAACAATTTTAAATTTACAATTTTTTTAGTTTTTTATTTTTATTTTTTTTCTTAATATTCTATATAAAAGTTTAAAGTGTTTTCCTTTTGGTATGAAATACAGTTTTACCTTTTATGATTGAATTAATAATCTCTTATTTTTGTTAAATTAATCTAAATTATAATTCATTTTCTAAAAGAAATATTTTAGTATTTTTTTTATAATATTAGGATTTGTCAATATGATCTTCAAAAAATTAAGAAAAAAAACACCTCAAAACTACATTTTTCAATAAAATCAAAACTCTCTTATTCCAACTTTAAAAATATGTTGTTTTTGTCTTTTCCAATTCAAGTTTATTAAAACAATTTAATTTTGTGATGTTTTTTCTCATAATTGTTAAAAATTCAGCTAACAAACACATATTTTAAATTCATTCTTCAATTAATTATTGCATAATTTATTACTGTGATATTTTATTTTTTTATTATAATTAAAAATACATTTATTTTTAATTTTTATAAAAAATACATCTTAAATTAAATTAAACTATAAATTTCAATAAAATCAAAACTCTCTTATTCCAACTTTAAAAATATGTTGTTTTTGTCTTTTCCAATTCAATTTTATTAAAACAATTTAATTTTGTGATGTTTTTTCTCATAATCGTTAAAAATTCAGCTAACAAACACATATTTTAAATTCATTCTTCAATTAATTATTGCATAATTTATTACTGTGATATTT